CATATTTTAGTATATTAAATTTTTGTGTACATTTAATTTATATAAATTCGAATATTATAATTTATAAATAAATTTATATATATTCTAACATATTTTTACTGCATTTTACATTATTATAAAATAATAATTAAATATATTTAAGAAATCTATTTTAAGAGAAAAATTATTAATATTTTCGAATTCGAATATTCGAATACGAATTCAAATACGTCAAATATCTATCGAATCGAATACGAATGTTTTTTAAAATTCGAATTATATACGAATTCGAATTCGAATACATATCACTTTAATCGAATACGAATCGAATAGTGATATATTTGATTCGATTCGATTCGTATACACCCCTACTTTTCACTCCTCAAACTAGCAGTTGTCCGGCCACATTAGTACCAATAAACCAAAATTTTACAACTACCTTCAATGCTAATTTGCTCTTCAACTTATTCTCGCCTTTCATGATTACCAAACTCATAACCACTGTTGCTACAAAATCCAATCAGTTCTCCATGTTACACGATGAGCATCTCACCGGTGGATCTTTTTCTAGAAATTACCCTAAATAGGACTAAAACTTATAGAAAAGTACTAAAATAGGACTCTTTCATATTTTTTTCACTGAAATAGGACTTTGCATTGTAGTAATGTAACTCTGCATTGGGGTAATGTGGCAATGTACATGTACACATTACTATACTTTTTTGGTAATGTATATGACCATGTTTGGTAATGTAAATCCTATTTCGGGAATAAAAACATGGAAGTCTTATTTTAGTATATTTTTCTTCCATCTTTTTCTCAAATCTCAACCTCCTCTTCTTAATTTACTTTTTTTTCTCTCAAATTATTCATTCTTAGTTAATCTCCCTTCTATATAACCAATAAGATCCAAACCAAATGAAATCAAAAGCAAAACCATGAGGGAAACTACAAGAAGAGTAAGTAATACCTCCGCAACTCACCTATCCAAGAAAAGCATACTACTTATGTCCTAGAGTATTTGTCAAATTTGGCTCTTTGCAGCCAATTATTTTCAATGTTTGAATTGTAATTAAATCAAATATATATTATAGTTTTTGAAAATATAAAAACATTTTAAAATTTTGACTTTTTGTAGTCAATTATTTCAATCATTGAACTAAAATCACTTTATTAAAATTTATTTAATGCAAAATAATTGTAATTGAAAATTTAAACCAAACATGTAAAACTATTTTTTTAATTGCAAAATAAAACCAAAAGCATAAAGCAATTTAGGGATAGTTTTTAAAATGCATAATTTTTTACTCCATATAAACTTAGCGTAGGTTATACTATATTTTTGAACAATTAAGAGTTTTTAATGGTTAAAAATGCTTTAAAAATAATAAAAAAAATATCAGTAATTAGGATAATTTCAAATGCTAAATATTAATTGTGACATTATAAATTATTTATATTAACATAGGATGTAGAGAAAAGTCGATGGTATTAACGTTAAAAACCTTTAAAGAATAAAACAAATTTTTTATTTTTTATTTTTTAATAATTAATTATATTTATTACGGAGTAATAAATTTGGTAAAAAAACTAGTTTATAATACAATTATATATTCCTCTGATGGAGTGGAAGCATGTTGGTGTAGTGGCAAAGAAGCCACCATATTCCTCCGAACCGAGCTCTCTGTTTGAGAAGATGATGATGATGCTTGTTGGGCTCATATATGGTAAGCAGCTGCAAAACTTCCACAACTTATGGGTATGTAATTACGTTATCAATTTTATTATTATTATTGTGCTATTTCTAGAACTTGATTTTCCACTATGGCAATGTGACCCAGACCCAGTCTAGGTTAGCTGGGCATTGCTTCATCTGAATTTTAAACCTGTAATCTTAGCCTTGCACCACGTTATGCTTGTTGACTTGTGATGATGATTTATCTTTTTCTGAAGGATGTTCGTTTCGAATTACATATATAGGACATTTGGGATGTGTACTCCTGTATTATAATTATGACAGTGTTTGATTATTGGTCAGCTCTTCTGCTTTTGTGTTATTTCTTACTCCTTGTGTTATACTCTCTTTGTCTAAAATTAAATTGCATATTTACTATTTAAACGCTCAAGCATCGCAAATCAAAAATAACTTCAGTCAGATATCGTAAACCAAAACAACCGTTTTGAATTGGGGTCATAGACCGCCCTAGCAGCACAGTCTGCATCCCAAGAATCTCGAGGAATCAACGTCTGTTTTCACCCCTCAAACCAGCAGTTGTCCGGCCACATCAGTACCAATAAAGCAAAATTTTACAACTGCCTTCAATGCTAATTTGCTCTTCACCTTAGTCCTTATTCTTGCCTTTCATGCTCACCAAACTCATAACCATTGTTGCTACAAAACCCAATCAGTTCTCTTGTTGACGGATAGACAACTCTCCATGTTACTAGATGAGCATCTCACCGGTGGATCTTTTTCTCAAATCTCAACCTCCTTTTTTTAATTTAATTTTTTTTCTCTCAAATCATTCATTCTTAATTAATCTCTCTTCTATATAACCAATAAGATCCAAACAAAAAGAAATCGAAAGCAAAACCATGAGGGAAACTCGAAGAAGAGTAAGTAATACCTCCGCAACTCACCTTTCCAAGAAAAGCATACTACTTATGTCCTAGAATATTTGTCAAATTTGGCTCTTTGCAACCAATTATTTTCAATGTTTGAATTATAATTAAATCAAATATATATTATAGTTTTTGAAAAAATAAAAACATTTTAAAATTTTGCCTTTTTGTAGTCAATTATTTCAATCCTTGAACTAAAATCATTTTATTATAATTTATTTTATGCAAAATAATTGTAATTGAAAATTTAAACCAAACATGTAAAACTATTTTTTTAATTGCAAAATAAAACCAAAAGCATAAAGCAATTTAGGGATAGTTTAAAAATGCATAATTTTTTACTCCATATAAACTTAGGGTAGGTTATATTATATTTTTGTATAATTAAGAGTTTTAATGGTTAAAAATGATTTAAAAATAATAAATAAAAAAATATCGGTAATTAGGATAATTTCAAATGCTAAATATTAATTGTGACATTATAAATTATTTATATTAACGTAAGATGTAAAGAAAAGTCGATGGTATTAACGTTAAAAAGCTTTAAAAAATAAAACAAATTTTATATTTTTAATTTTTTTAATAATTAATTATATTTATTAATAAATTTGGTAAAAAAACTAGTTTATAATACAATTATATATGGAGTGGAAGCATGTTGGTGTAGTGACAAGGAAGTCACCATAAACTTTTCCACATCCCATGTTCAAACCATACCCCTATGCTTAAGAGGTTGAGGGTGACTGAGGCCTGGGGTGGGCGACTCCAACTTACCACTCCCTCAAATTTCAAATTCCCACTAACAATTAACCATTTTAGGTTTCCGAACTTCACACCGTATGCGTTCTATGATCTCTTCCATTGACTCCGGGTAAATTTTATCCGTTGTATTTGAACTTTGGAAGAATTTTTTCTTTTGGTACCAAAATTCCATTTTCTTTCACTAAAATACTTCAACTTAATTTAACAAATATTTCAAGAAATTACTCAAGCTAGTTTTCAAGTAGACTTTTGGTCATTTTTGTCTACTATACATTTCTTCTCCCTTTTCTCTGCATCATTTTCTTTCAGTCTTGTTTCTTCCTTTTTATTCTTTCGTTATCTTCTTCTTTCGTCAACATCTTTTCTTAGTTTTTCTTCTTCTTTATTCTTTTTCATTTTCATCGCCGTCTCTGTGTCTAGATTAAGTTGGTGTTTCTCTGTGTTTATAAGTGTTGGGAGTGACATTAGTATGATAATATCCACTCTGGCTAAGCTCTCACAGATTTGTTTTCGGACACCTTTCAAAAGGCCTCATACTAATAGATTGAGTTGAACTTAAATATTTTTGTTCATCTTCTCCAATGCTTTCGATGTGAGACTAAGTTGCATTCCCGGCCAAGATACCTTCCATCAAACTATGAGCACACATAATCCATTTTTATCTATCCCGGATCATTTTTCCTAACAAATCAATAAGAATAACAAGGAAAAGGCTAACCATCTAGTAGGAATAAGTTAGTATAAGTTTTCTAGAATACTTCTTTAATCTTGATCCACAAATAGCCTAAAGCCTCCTAAATACTACTCCCTCCGTCCCAAATTATAATGTCTGTTTACTATTCACACGGTCAAACTTCATTCACTTTCTTTTTCTATTTTCATTATCAATTTGATAAAATAAAATATTATTGTCACTACTAGTTTTGTAGATCTTTTGACGTAGATTTTTAATATGTAATTTTTATTTTTTAATTCTATACCATTTGTCATATAAAATGGTTTGAAAATAATTTCAGTCAAACATCGTAAACCGAAACAGGCGTTATAAAATGGGACAGAGGTAGTAGTTGTGTAACGCACCAAAACATACCCTAAAATTTATTGAATTAAATATTCAATTAAACAAACTTCTTTGATTAAAATAAATTATTGTTGGGCTTTGGGCCGAAATGAAATATGTTTTGATATCTAATATTATAATCTGGATAAATCTAATAAAGATAAATCCAATATGTTGAATATTTGTCTGATCTTGATTGTGAACTAGAGTACTGATTCAAATTAAGAATAAATAAAGAAATTGAATTATGATATGAATTTTGAAAGGATTTATCGAAATAAATCATTAGAATAAATAATAGAATTGGATGAGAGAACCTTTTTGAATAAAGGTCAACTAAATCAATTTTGACTCTGTCAAAGTCAAACCCCCAACAAAATGATGTCAGAAAAAGTATTACAATAAATATAAAAATTATATTGTTAAAAAGAGTTTAACTGTCCGATTGCAACGGTGCAAATGGATTTCAATTTAGAGAAAGTTGGACCAAAAAGTGTACCCTAACTAGGTCTGAAATTAGTCCCAATATGGGACTTGTGTTTGGAATTGTAAATATCGCAACCCTCTCCATTGAGACGCCGAAGGAACAGAACTACAGAGTCACCCATGTCTTCTACTTCACTTTTTCTTCTATATAAGGGAACCCAACCTTCTCATTTCTTCACCATAATTCTTCAAACAAATTCTGAGAGGTAGCCTTGAGTGTGGAGAAAGCTGTGGTACGGTGCTGTCAATTTGGTGTGAAGTCACCGGAGCTTAGAGTAATCTTCGCCGGAAGTTTCGCCAGAAAAATCTCAAAACCTTCGTTAAGCTTCGAGGTAAGTCCGTAGATATATCTAGTGACTAGAATGTTCGTCTAGATTGGTTCTACGTTAATAAACGATCGTTTGGTTGAGTTTTGTATTTAACGTGCTTGAAGAACTAAAAATCATAAACCTTGAAGTTGTTGTTAAAACTATGAACTAATGATACCAAAATGATCCATGAACCTTGAAGAACATTCCTATATAGTTTAACCAAAGTTTGGTGACTAAAAATGACATTTCCGAAAATTGACTCGAGGTTGAAGATGACACTGTTCAAAACTAAACTACGCGCAGAACGATAGCCAGCTACCATCCGGACGGTACCTTGTTACCTCCGGCACGGTAGGCCGTACCACTAGGACGGTAAGCTAGCTACCGTATCCAAATCTTAATAGTAATTCCCAAGGGAACCAGATAGGATATTGTTAATGCAACAATCAATTCATCATACCTTTGGGAACATTGTACAGTTCTCCGTTTAATAGAAAATATGAGATTGCAATCTATGGTGCAAGCAGAAAACAACAATAGTTTGGTTGAATTCGGGAATGGATTGCTAATATTGGAGATGGGAATGTAGGCAATGATAAGGATGGGTGTACAAAAATTGTTCTTCCTGATGATATTATTTTGACATACTGCAATGATCCCATCGAGGTAATTGTGTAATCAACATACTCAGATTTTAACATCATCGTAAACGACCCAACATACTTGCAACATACAGCCATTCTAGCGCCAACATTAGATGTGGTAGATGATGTTAATGATTACATGGCATCAAAGAATGTGAAAGAGGAGTCCAAAACGTACTTAAGCTCGGATAGCATTTGTAAGTCAGACTCAAATGTGGATGTTTTATCTGATTTACATTAACTAGATTTTTTAAATGGCATTCGAGCTTCAAGTCTTCCAAACCATGCGCTTACGTTGATGGTCAATACCCCAATCATGCTTCTTAGAAATATTGATCAATCTATGGGCCTGTGCAATGGTACAAGATTAATAGTGACGAAATTGGGGAAGCATTTAATTCAAGGAAAAGTTATGGGAGGGAAAAATGACGGGCATGAAGTTGTTATCCCAAAACTTTCATTGACTTCATCGGATAAAAGGATTCCTTTCAAGTTTCAAAGGAAACAATTTCCTGTAATGGCTTTTTATGCAACGACCATTAACAAAAGTCAAGGTCAATCTTTATCGCATGTTGGGCTACTACTTAAAAAACCAATCTTTAGTCGCGGTCAACTATATGTTGCTATCTCCCGTGTGACAAATCGTGAAGGACTGGATCTTATTTTGTCACGAAGAAAACGATGCTTTAGACCACACTTCAAATGTTGTTTATAAAGAAGTCTTCCAGAATTTATAATGCATTCTTATGTGTAAAATTTATTTGTGTGCAATGCACTTTTATATGATCTAGGACTATACAAAGTGATTTGTGGTTCGAAATATACGGTATTTAGATGTGATATATATTAAATTTTATTTTTTACTATATTAAGTCATTATAATTTAGTTATTTTTTACACAAATAAAATGATTTATTATTACATTATTCTCATCGTGCATCGCACGGATAAAATCTAGGCTAAACTCCATTATTGATTCTTCAAGTTTCAAAATTCCATAAATAATCCTTCAACTTTATGAGTTATGCACGATTGGACCTTCAAGTTTCAAAAGTCCATAAAAACTCCTTCAAGTACACGTCACCCCTCTAGATGAGGTCCTTTTGATGGTAAAACATTAAAAGATAAATGAAGTACTAGCTCCATATAGTACGGGGTAATCGTATATAGTGGAATTTACTCGCATTATATGGAACTAGTATTCCATTTAACTTTTAATATTTACTGCCAAAACGACCTCATTTGGAGGACATATGTGTACTTGAAGGACTACTTATGGACTTTTGAAACTTGAAGGACCAATCGTGCATAACTCATAAAGTTGAAGGACTATTCATGGACTTTTGAAACTTGAAGGATCAATCATGCACAACTTATAAAGTTGAAGGACCAATGGTGGATTTTAGCCTAAAAGCTAGTAATTAAACAAGCCCAGAAACTTAGGAAATGCAAAAAAAACGGCCTAAAGCTATAGCCTTTGTTTGGATGGGGAGAGAAAATGAAAGGAAAGAAAATGAAAGAAAGAAAATAAAGAGAAGAGAAAATGAAGAGAAAAGTGAAAGAAAATATTTGTTGTTTGGATGTGTAGAAAATGAGAGGAAAAGTGGGAGAAAGGAAAATACAATAAAATGAAAAAGACAACTTTGGACTCTAAAGAATAGAGGAGACACCAATGATTGATTAGGGTTAGAGGGCAAATGTGTAATTTAATTAATTTTCTCTTCAACATGGGGTTTTCTCGCCTAGGAGGGGAAGAAAATTTTTCATCTCCCCTCCTCACTCTTTTTCTTTCCTTCCTCAATTTTCTATTGCAACCAAACAAGAAAAAATGCATCCTAAATTGTGTTTCTCTTTTCTTCTGTTTCCTTCCAATTTCTCTCCCGTCCCGATTTTTAGGCTGGACTTTTTTCGTGCTGCTCTTGTAAGGCTCTGTTCCGTTCAACTTATTTTTTCTGATCTGATCTGATTCTAATAAGTTTTGATCTGATCTGGTCTGATCTGGTCTGATCTGATCTGATTGGATCTGATCTGATCTGATTGGATCTGATCTGATCTGATCCGATTAATTATGATTAAATTTAAAATTTTAAATTAATAATTTAATTTGACTTTATAATAACGTTTGAAAATTGTAATGATAATTCACATTATAATATAATCAACATTTTTTATTTAATGATTATTTTTTAATAAAATGAAAATAGTCAATTCATATATTAGAATAATCATTCATATTATAATGTAATAATATTTTTATTTTATGATTATTTTTTTTGTAAAATTAGAATTATGCATTAGAATAAATATTTAATTTAGATATACATTAAAAATTAATTAAATTTAGATAATCAATATACAGAAGAGATAGTTATAATAATAATAATAATAATAATAATAATAATAATAATAATAATAATAATAATTCTTGATGGGATCTGATTTTAATAAGTCCTGATCTGATCTGATCTGATCTGATTGGATCTGATCTGATCTGATTGGATCTGATCTGATCTGATTAAATCTGATCTGATCAGATCTGATTGGATCTGATCTGATTGGATTTGATCTGATCTGATCTAGTCTGATCTGATCTGATCTGATTTTAATAAGAATAAGAAAAAATAAGAAAAAATAAGTTGAAAGGAAGCGGGCCTAATTTGTAAGTAACGAGCCTTTTAATTTTCAAAAATTGCCCGTTTTGTTTTACTGCCTGAGTTCTGTGAGAACAAGATTCAGAACTCCCTTCCAACCGTCAAGGCCACTGAGAGAGAGAGAGATGAATAACGAGGAATTGAGCCGTCGCCGTCGTGTGCTGGAATTTATCATGCAGTCTGCTCACGTAAACCTTTCAAAATTCATCTCTTCAATTTTGATTGTATCGATCACTAACAGTTCATCCTGATTGTTTGAATTTTTTTCTGAGTTTTTCTTCTCCTGAACTTATTGATGAAAAAAGGATCTCCAAGTCCCTCCGATCGTCAAGTACTCCGCGCTTTCTCTTTTCGCCGACCGATTCTACCCCACTCTCTACCGGTACAAACTCTTAATTGTTCTCTGTTGGAAGCTTCTCATAATAATCTCTGATATTTTAAGTTTATTATTTTATTTACATATTATTATGAAAATTTCAATAGATATTATTCATGCAAAAATGTTGCATTATTTCAATAACCTATATGCCTAGGCTAACCCATGATTCACCATTCACAAAGCACATGAATTCATGGATCAGTAATAGTAACTTAAGGGATTAACATTTATTACTTTTTTCTCAATTTGGAGTGGATTGAGAAAGGATTAAATTGAGGAAGAGGCAAAACCCTTTCATTTTTTTCCTTTTTAGTGGGAGTCGATAACCTTAGCATCTGGATAAACAAAAGTAATTCAATAAATGTTAGAATGTTAGGCCTACAGTAATAGGATGATAATTGCCTAGGTTTAAGCCACAACATCATTAAGATTATGATAAAGTGATGATGATCAGATTGATTTAATTCAGGTTTGCATGTAAGCTAAATGCCCCTTTATTCACTCCCATTACCCTTTTCTAATCCAATAATTACTTGGCTCAATGTAATCAAATTTGATCAAAGCTGACTTGTTACATCCCAAAGACCCAAACACCACCCAACTGTGGCAAGTACTGGTAACCACCTTCTTTAGTCCTATTTCACATATGACATAGTGGCTTGAGCATGGTAGTTGTCCTCATTCCACCAGTAAATATCACCCAAAACACTATCTGATATCCACGTCATCTTTGGCCTATTTACAATCCATGCTTTTAAGTTGTTTAGGTATGGAATGCTGATACTTAGCTTGATTTGTTTATTTTTATGACTATTTTTTCATTGATGGTAATTGCGATACTTTGTGTCCATTGTGATGGAGCTCAAAGTCATTTTTGAGAATTTTTTAGCTTTAGCTAAATAATGGACTAAATAAGAATGACGCATTAACCTTTTTCCGTTTCTTATTTTTTATGAATTTTTGGGTACTAATTGCATTGATGCATGTCTAATGGAAATGCTCTCTCTGTCTATTGGTCTCTGTGTGCAAAATATATGTCTGCAGATGTTTTCTTTTTCAATTTCAGTATCATCGTATTATTAAAAGAGATTTAACTTTGCGGGACTCTACTGAGTTGTTGTTGTTATATGATATTTAACTTGCCATTCAGAATAGGACCAGACAAAGTAAACTGGCTTTTGGATCCCACCAGAGAAAGCAACCTTCAGTTATTTGCTCTTGCTTCTGTATGGATCGCTAGCAAAGTAAGTCCCACCATTTCCAATATATGCATTTACTTCTTGACTGTCATCAATATGGTTTCACTTGCATTTTCATTTTAAAGTAACCATGTAGATTTGTCCTTTATTTTCAGATTCACTCATCCCGTCCTCTTTCTTTCAAGTCTTTGAAGTCATTAGCAGACAAGAGTATTACAGAGCAGCATTTCACAACAAGAGACTTTTTGGATGCAGTAAGAGCTACTTTTTTTTTTAAAAAATAAAGTTTCAAGGGTGTGCAGTGTACACAACTCTTTTATTAACTCTCCTGGTGGTGATAAGCTACTTCACAGGAGCTGTCACTAATGCAGGTAACTGGCATTTTACCTAGGGGTTTGTGTCTTTTACTGCTTCTTTTTCATATTATTCTCTTCATGCATGGGGGAGGAAGCCAAGTCTTGATATGTTTTCTTTACCACACCCCTCATAAATTGTATATACTTAGTGCGTATGTTTCTTTTTGCTCAAGGTATTGAAATATGAGATTGGTGTGTCATACATTGCCTATGTATTCCTGGAGGATCTCATTATTCAATTGAAGTGAGTATTTTGTCAAAACTGTAACTGCTGACAGTTATTCCCATTTGCTTGAAGTTCCTTTGCTGATAAATACTCCATCCTGAAATTAAGTTCTCATCTGCTTTTTTGGTACGTCCTAAAATAAGTTTCTCATTGTTTAAGGAAATAATCGTGTGGTGTTTATCATTTCTCTATCCTAAATCTTAACCACACAATCTCGCCTTTCTTAACTTTTGTGCTAAAAGCAAATCAACACATGAACTGGGACAAAGGGAGTAATATTTATGGCTATTTAACTATGTTCCAGTTATCAACTGTATTGCTTTGTTCTTGCTATTACTCCATCCCTTTTGTGTAATTCCAGGGATGTTGCACGGGTTGGTGAACATGTGAATTTTGAAGCTTGCTTGGATATCATGGACCTACTCTATGAAAAGGAGGACACTTCAATTCTTTTCAGTACTTCTAAATGTTTGGCAGCGTCAATATTGGCATGGTTTTTGTATTTGTCTTGTTTCAAAATAATCGGCCTTTTATTGTATATTTTGTGCTTAATCTGTCATTGATTGCGCAGGTTGCTACATATGTGATTACAGTTCCTGTACAACGATGGGAGTTCCCAATTCTCCCTTGGGGTAAGCTTGCAACACTGCAATATAAAATCATTTATCCATTCTTGGCAGGGTTGTGGGGGAGGTAAGGGGAATGCATATGCTCTTTTGATTTCATTAGTTTATGCACATAACTATTGTACACTATGTCAGACAATCATAGAACTATAGAAGTATCTTTAGATGCTTATCTACCTCAACTAGATTAGTTAATTTTTTTTGATAGTTGACTATTATTCTTAATAATTGAATTATAGCTGGGGTGAGTTGATCAAACAAGATATGAGGTTGTTTCAATTCACCGAGGACACAGCCATATATAGGAACCTTTGGAGGTTGATTAAGGGTAGTTTGTTAGTAGCAGGTCTATTGTTTTCTTTTTTTTGGGTTTATTGGTTTTTAGGTGTGCTGTTCTGGCATTCATCTCCACCGAGTAAGATCTGCATACATCTACCCTCCCGAAACCCCATTTGTGGGATTCCACTAGGTTGTTGACTATTGGAAAATATTGGGGGAAAGCTGAAAAATATAGAGCACCCTTGATATAGTAATTATGGGATACCTAGGAAAACACTTTTCGTTTTCTTATTTGATTGAGATTGTTAACTGTGATCTAAAACTAGCTATCTGAGAGTGGTTTTATGTCACATTGATAGCCAGTCCCAAACCGAATAAAGAAGAAAGTTGTGGTAGTTTGACTCTCCTTGTAAAAAAAAGACACTGCTAGGACCATGAATACAAAATAAAATTCCATTGAGACTTTTCCTACTCAATGACGTGTTAGACTTCTTAGACCCTCGTAGCATAGGATCAACAATGCACCACATCTCTGCCCAGGTGGTCCCAAATGAGCTAGGACGTTCTGATCTAGACATTGTAAAGGTAAGGTCGTAAGGATGCCGAATTACATCACAAATGAACTTAACTGAAGTTAAGGCTAAAACTTTTGCATTGTTAGCTTATAAGCTTTGGTATACGACTATACATGGAAAGACAAGATCAGGGATAGAGTTGGGATACTCCTTGATAATCGACTTAGTTATGATGCACTTGAAGATCTGTAGCATTTTTAAACTATGTTTGTGGTTAAAAGATTGTTAATATAATCTATATGTATCAAAGATTTCCATCATCTCCGATGGAGCCAAAATTTCACCATTTTTTGGCTTTGGGGTGTGATGGAATAAATCAAAATGGATCTTTAAACTGTGTGCGCTTCTTTAATTAATGAAGTAGTAGGTAGTCAAGCAATGCAACTTTCGACGTTGAGCCGGGGGTCTCTTTGGAAACAGCCTCTCTACTTTCGAGTAGGGGTAAGGTCTGCGTACACACACCCTCCCCAGACCCTACTCTTGTGGTATTTAACTGGGTTGTTGTTGTTGTTGTTGTACCAAAGCACCAAAAATGGGGTTAGAAGGATAGGTTCAAAGTAGTTTTGTGATTACTCAGACATGTCGTTAAGCGTATGCCATAAAGGAAGAAAGAATTCATTGGTGGGGACATCAATGGATCAGTGAACATATAGGCATAAGCCACAAGGATTTGAGACTTTACATGGGGATTTGTGTAGGAAATGAAAGAAGAACAATGACTACCAATTTGGTCACATGTGTAATAAAATTCCAAAATGACCGTTTTTGTTTTTGAAAAATGACTGGATTCCAAAATTCAGCCAAGGGCCCTAAAAATCGCGAAAAGAATTAAAATGACATGTTGTGGGACTATTAGCTGTGAAGTATTATGATATAAGGAATGATGTAAATGCAATGTAAATTTGTTGACTTGGGATTATCACTTTGTTATATGTAGGAGGGATGCAAATTGGTTCTACTTGCCTAAGTTGCACTGAGATGGGAGTGGGAACATATACGACATTAAGATGAAAATAACATTTTCAAAGAAGTTTAAAATACGAATATCACAATGATATTACAAGAAACAAATTCAACAACAACAATACCCCAGTGCTTCAACGCTTCAACGGCTCCTGCCCATTGCGGGGTAAGGGGGGTCGGATAAACATAGTCTGACCCTTATGTTTAAAACATAGAGCGGCTGTTTCCAAATGACCCATGATGAGCGTCGAAAGTTGCATTGACTAACAACTAATTCACTATTGCAAGACGCACAGACAGTTTAAAGAATTAATTTGCTTTATTCCATCATACCCCAAAGTAAAAAATAGTGAATCTTTGGCTCCACATGGAAATGGAAATGGAAATGATTACGAGAAACAAATAATTAGAATATTTTAGTTTGGGAAGACCTTGATGATGGAGGCTTTGACAATGGGAGAGGAAAAGGCAGTAGATTAGAATATCTTAGTTGATGTTTGTTTTTCTATTGGATTTTGTAATGTTATGCACCTATGCTCATCTTATATTTTTTTGTTTACTTATGTTTTGACTTTTGGTACACCTTCATACCGAAATGAACCTACCCCTTCGTACCAAATTCTTCACATCTAGCGAATTTCGTACCCGTACCGCGTACCCTTACCGAAACATACCGCAATTTAGGTGAGTATGGATTGATCAGGTCTTTTTAGGCTGGTTAGGTAGCAGTGCGGCACCTTAGGGCTAGGCGGGTAAGGTGCTCCTTGAGTATCAAGTACAGAGTAAATCTAGCTGACTTTAGAATGAATTGGGCTGGCTCTGACTTTTTGTCCCAATTTAAGGTTTTACTCCCGCAGTATATTTTCTTTTAATTCGTGTGATCATTTCTTAGGAGAACATTACTTCCGCAGTAAATGTATTGGCAATATATTGTGTAATTGCTGTAATTTTTCTTCATGAAGAAATTTGGCGAACACACACAATATATACGGGGTGACTTTTTCTTAAAACAATTGGAGGTTGGTGTGTGGTATGGTGGTGTATGGTGACTTTTATTAACAACAATTGAAGTGTTTCATTTTTCAAAAAATAAAATGAAGTGTTTACCCGGATGGGCAGCTCAAGTGGTCTCAGAGGTGGAATTTAGAACAAGGGTTCAAGGATCGAGTCTCACTAGCAATAGTGTGGGAGCAACTTCTCAAAAAATGAGGGGGTTCCTTGTGAGGAGTGAGCACTGGTCCCAGCCTCTGTTACCGGTTGAGTCACCATGATTTACATCTTCTCACAAGCCCGTCGGGTAGGAGGCGAGGGGCCCGGGATGAGCGATTTCGACTGTGATACAAGAAAATGAAGTGTTTCTCATTTGATACATCTTTTTAAAAGCAACTATTCCCCCTGTCCCACATATCCCATTTCCATTTTTCCACTGGTTCCAAAGTAGATGTAATATCCCACCCATTAGTAGGTACTGAACTAGGGTCAACTAGGTACTTATTGGTCCTTGTTTTGTTTTTTTCTCCTAATGAATAACTCATTAATAATTGTTGTGGGGGCAGTTGTGTTTGTAACATCATGCGAAGAGCAGCAGATTGTGGACACGGTTGGAATGGTTCTGAGGCATATCTTCGACCCGGTCCAACTCCCTCCTTTGATTTGAAGTGGTCTTTATCCTCACATATCTTTTTGGTCAACAAACACTGCCATTGATGATGGACGGCCGGGACTGATGATCAGGTACGTTCACGTCCCACTGTCTTTGAAAATAGTACTTCTGTACGGACTAGTAATTGGAAGCTGGGGATTTATAATACGGAGTAATATGTTTTGTAGCAATTTGGGACCATATGGATGACCCTAAGCCTCCATTTAGGTGCTTTCTTGTTTTTTGTTCGTTAGCAGTTTGTTTGGATAATGTGAAAAAGGGGGGAATGAAATTTAAGAAGAGAAAAACACACAAAAATGATGCATTTTCCGTCATTTGTTTTGGAGAGAAAGGCGAATTCTTACGTGGTCTTAAAATCCATATTCATTTTAAAGACTTTAGTGCATTGCTATCATAAAAGAATTGAACTTTTTACAAAAAAGAAGAAAATCACAATCAGTCCATGAAAACTGTGAGGATGTCCATATTTCACATGTAGATCTTAGGACTATAGAAGAACAATTAGGAGAGAAAATGAGAGTGGAGAGAAAAGTAATCATGGGTCGCACATTAAAAAAATCTCTCCAAAATTGGTGAGAAAATTCTATGTGTAATCAAAGGATCCAAGTTCAGTTCTAATAATATTTCTACATGGTATCAGAGCCAAATCTTGGGAAAACCTAAAATCCTAGTTTCCTCTAGTTTGTTGCTTCCGCCGCCGCCATCGCTTGCGGTAGGGGTGAGCAAGTACCGAACCGATACTGAAATTTCCCAAAAAAACTGAGAATACCGAACCGAAAAATATCGAACCGAAAAAGTACCGAGAAGAAACCGAACCATACCAAACCGAATGGTCGGTACGGTATTCAGGAACAGTACGAGGTGACCTCCCATACCGAAAATCCCGTACCGAACATATATACTAAAATATTATAAAAAATAATACCCTGGAGTAATATTTTATATTCCTTCACTAAATAATACTCCGTAATTTTTTCTAAAAAAATTTGGTTCAAGTTCTATATGTGTAAAATATAATTTTATTTGAGTTTTAATTTTTATATATGAACATAAAAGTATTCACAAAGATTCAAAATACTCCTTTGTTGTCTTTCATTTTTTTAGTTTGTGAAATATAAACTAAGTTTTGATACGCATATCTTGCATTTAAATATTAATTTTTTTAATTTTTCATATTTTTTTATTTAAATTCACTTTTAATTTTCAAAAATAAAGGGGTATTATTAAATTTTAGCATGTAAACTAAGTATATATATTTATCCCGATTTGTACCGAAACCGATACTGAACCATCCCGAACCATACTCAACCGATATTTCAGGATCGGGATCGGTACGGAGTAAAATCCCATACCGAATTTAAATATTTGGTACGGTATCGGCACGAGCAAAACACTGTACCATACCGTACCATGCTCACCCCTAGCTTGCGGTCGTGAAACCCTAGTTTACTCTAGCTTCTGCCACCGCCGTAATTTGTTCGGCGATGACGCCGTCACCCTCGTTCATTCACCAAAATCCGTCAGTTGCTACTCCTTGCTACTCCTGTTGTTCTTCCACCTATTTGTGATTATGCAACAACAACCACGGTTGGTTGCTGATTTTCAGTCCCCCATAACTGTTTTTGTGGGGTTGACCTTTGTCGTCAGACCGCCATTGATTGCCGATCGAAGTCCAGTTCCCTCCGATCATATATTATTGTCCTATTTCAACCGACGTGTAAATTCTATTTCTTTTAAATTATTTTTATTTATAAATTGATATAAAAAATAAAATTATACATTTAAAAGCTATATCAAAAGTTTTACAAAATAAGTAGTGATATATTTATTTTATTAAATCATAAATAAAAATGCATATGCAAAATTATCAAAATTCTTAAATAATAAAGTGGACGATTTAGGGGAGGGAGTATTTGTACCGACCTCATAATTTTTCAAAATATATCCACTTTAATAATTTATTACTCCTAAACAAAACTTGTATCTTACACTTATTAGTGGAGTTATGTTTCATCACCTCTTTTTGTTCCAAAACAGTGGATATGACATTAGTGGAATCAACGGAATCATATCCCTTGTTATTTAGTACGGTGCATTAAGTTGAACATTTTAATCCAACTCCACATGATCGATTGTGTTGAATTGATGTTTTTACGTTTGGCATTATGGATGACTAACTGTTTGTGAATTTGTTTTCACAAATAGTGTAATAGAAACGGTTGCAGTGTCTGTAAACACTAGGGAAAATGCCAAATATGGTACTAAAACAATGCAAAATTCCAAAAGTAGGACTAGTACTATAATAAACGTTTTTTAATGACTAGAATGACTAAAATAGCCCTGCTCGCTGGATTTGGAGAAACACGCAAGCTACAATTTTTGAAAATCGAGAGGCATTTACGAGCGAAGAAATCTTGAGAAGCGAGTTAATCGATCAGGGTAAACAATCCAGGCTCTCCTTCTCTCAATGCAGATCTATAGGAGCAAAAACTAGAGAGAGCGAATCTAGGAAAGCGATAACAATGGCTTCAGTAAATCAATGTTCGATGAAGGTAGCAATGGCGTCTAAGAAAGGTGAAAGCGAAGACAATGATTTTGTGCCGAGGGAATCCGATGATATGCTTCTGACAATGCCTAACGGACTGGTAGGCTCTGAAATTTACAATTTAAAGTTGATCAACATGAATTGAACTTTATGAAATTGAAGTTTATGAAATTGATTGAAGGCATGCATTTTGTTATAGTTGATTGAATTCGATAGCTATGAGCTTTCAATTGTGCAGGTCTACAATGTCGTCAATTAATGTCTACTTGGTCTAATTACTGTCTACTCGGTTTTATTAATGTCTAATTATTATAGTTTTTTCATTAAGATATAAGTTTTGAAGGCTTAAGAGAATCATAAATCTAGCAGATGTTATTGTGCTTTGAACAATTTAATTATGGTTGTGTGTAACAAGAATAATGTCTGCTAATGTCTACCTGGTTTATTACAAATTATGAGACTATGTGTTCAATTGGCGTATTAATGCATGTTAGGCATTTGAATGAATATAATGATATTTGTGGATATAGAAGTAACTATTGAGGGATTTTGACTAACATAAAGCCCAAGGGATGCTAGTGGGATCTGTACACTTGAATTGTGGATGTCTATGATGTGGACAAAGTATATTAATGTCTACATAGTTTACATGGTTTTATTGTGATAATGAGATTGTGTCTTTGGTTAGTGAATGAATGTCCTGTTAAGCATTTAAATGAATATAATGACATTTTTTATTGAGACATAAAATTTTGAGGGCTTATGAGAAGCATAGAGTCCAGGGGATGTTACTGTGCATTGAAATGTTGATAATGCCTACTAATGTCTACATGGTTTATTTGAAATGGCGGGACTGTGTTCAGTTGATGTATTAATATCCTCTAAGGCATTTAAATGAAAAAGTAGAATACTTTCAAATGCAATTTGTGTTGTGTTTTGGAAATGAAGTGAACTGAATTTTGTTTAATGTGACAAGTCTATAAACGCCTATGTAATCCAAACCTACTGGATACAAGAACTGAAGCTAAAATAAATTCATGCTGCAATGTTGGTAATGAGGTTAATAAGTTGAAAGAAGTGCTTTCAAAAGAAGAACTAAGTGAAGTTTAAGAGACTGCTTTTGGATATTGGTTAGACATTAAAGAATTGAAATGTGTTAATGGCCAACTCCTCATTCTTCTCGCACTCAACCATGTGGAGCCGATGGGCATGCAGAGTGTGTGCCTGTAAAGAAATTTCATTTTCCATTGCTGACACACAAATTACATTCGCAAAGAAAGACTTCCAAGAGGTGAGTGGTTTTAGGTTTGGGAGCGGTAGTGAAAATATGGAGAATTATACAGAACCAAGTGACATAAGTAAAAGATACTTCAATGGTCAAATCAATGTGACAAAAGAAAATGTGAAGATTGAATTTGAGAGAGTCAAGAGAAATATAAATAGAGAAGCATTAAATGCAGTGAAGTTAGGGCTCCTATACATGTTAGAGACCTGTATAATTGGTAACCAACCAAGTATTAAACTTCCTGGACTGTATCTCCACTTGGTCGATGATTTATCCAAGTTTAATAGGTATCCATGGGGAGAAGATGTGTGGAAAGATCTGGTAGAGAATGTTCAGAAATGCTGTTGTATTATTAAAACAAGCAAGAAACCAAGGTTCAATTTCCCTGGATTCCATTTTGCTTTACAGATATGGGCGTATGAAACATTTCCAGTACTGATGCAAGAGAAGGAATGTGTATTGGACGAAGGAAGGAAGACATTATGGCCAAGGGCATTGAGATGGTCAGCAGACGGGAGGACCATGAAAGAGTTGTTGGAGATGAAAATATTCAAAAATGAAAAGGTAAAACTTAAAAAAACAAAAGAGATGAGTGGGGTATTGTTTTGTATCTAATATTGTATTTTTTATCAAAACTAAATTTCCATTGAATCATAATATGCGATTGTTTTGATTTGCAGTTTGAGTTGATAGAGATGGTAAAATCTGATGAAGAACAAGTCATTCTCAAAAAAGCCAGGAATCGCCTATCTCTACGAATACTAAAGATGACAATGCAAGAAACAGTTGTTGTGAGTGAACATGGGGATGCTTTGCATGCTACAACAAACGCCAGAAAAAGGAAAAGCCCCGAGCAATGCGCAAAACACAATGAAGCCCAGAAGACAAAAATGAATCCAAAAAAGACATGATAAACGCACAGTCCTCAAATCATTTTGGAGAAGAATGGTGCTAGAGATGAGAAATGAAAGAATGAAACATTGAACAAAATAAAATCTTTGGAGAAAATGGTGAAGAGTATATAAACTAACATGGCAGAGAATAATAGAAAAATGGTAAGTGAGATACAAGAGTTCAGAAAGGAAAACAAGAACAATGGGGATTGGTTGATGAATGCTTGAAAAATGCTGGCATTTTGGGGAAAACACAGAGTAAGGAATCCAGCAAGAAAGACACTCAGTTTCCAAGTTTTGATTTAGGCATTGATCTACATTGTACACCACAGACAGCTCATAGAAAAGAGGGTCAAAAACTTGAACAAGATAAGAATGGAGACTGTGTAAAGGAGAAGGGAGAAGACATGGACATTGATTGGATGAATGGGCTGTTGGCTAAGGCAAACACTGATCACAATTGCCAGGTTTGACACATAAATTTTTAGCATTTAACATCCTGACAATGACCATACTTCATTGTTCATCTTGATGACACAGGAAACTATGCACATGGTTGAAGCTGATTTAGGAACATTACATAAAGTCATTGACAAGAAACGCCTTGAGCAGGTACGTACTAACACATATAGTGCAAAGCTACATGAATATGAGTTCCAGGTTTTGGACACAACTCGAAGGGCTTTTGTAGTTAACCATTGGTCCAGGACTTGTACTTGTTGTGAGTTCCAAACCAATCACTTCGTATGTGTTCATGCTGTTGCAGCTATTCGTACACGCCCAAGTGTTTCATGTTATGAATTTATATCAAAATACTACACTACTTCCGAGTGGATTGCAGCATATGAAGGCATTATACATCCTTCGGGTAGTAGAGACAGTTTGGTTGTTCTAGAGGTTGCGTCGGCTATTTTCTGTAGACTTCCCTCATGTTCTAAACGCCCACCTGGAAGACCCAAGAAGCAGCAAAATTCCATCCAGGGGTGAGACTATGAGCATGAGCAGACAATGTTGCTCCCGGTGTACAATGCCTGGACATAATATAAAAAACCTGTACCAACCCCTTTCTATCCGTCGCACATAAGTCTTTATGCAAGAGAATCTGTTTTTGGAATGGACCTTATGTTTCCTTCCAATTCATGAACATTTCAAGTCCTTGTGTATTGTCTTTTTGAAATTGATCCTAATATCATGTCATTTCTCATTGAACTCTTTTCTTCAGCTCTGTTGTTTTTACTTTTCAATTTCAATTGTGTTGAATGCCATGATATTCATGTGTTTGTGTAATGGATCAATCGGTTGTCCTCTAAATTCTGTTAAATTATTTACTGTTGTCCGGACAACAAATAACAGCAACTATAACCAAAGTTCTAAAGTGTTTTCAATGATACCCCCCTCCCTCTCTTGGCACTGCTTCTTAGCCCGTGATTTAGTACTGTCCTCATCATAGTCAAGAACATAAGGGGCTGCAGGGATTGCCATTCTGTAATAAAAGTATGTCATTAGTATCAGCCAAAGAAAGATTTGAAGAGATTCCATGTTTTAAAAGATGGCATTTGCTCGGGCCAGAATTACAATGCCAGCTTTTTTGACATTGAATGGTTTGGGTGTGTCATTTCTTAAGAAAAGTTATTTGTTGGAATTGAAGAAGTGATTCTGTCATTGATAAAAGTTATTATCATTTGTTTAAAGGTTACTTGTTTACTCCCCTTTTTAAAAAATATTCATCAAATACTGTGCCACAATTTTATCCAAAAAAGTAATGTCATTACTACAATCACAAACCATATTGTGATTACAAGCTTCTGTCTAAAAAGTACTAATAATATGAAAAGTACTGATAGTGCACTTACAACCCATAGTGCAATTACTACAACAACATACTAAAAGTAAACATAAAAGTTTTTTAAACTTGGTCACATTTTCCATTCTAATGCTCAGCCTCGTGTTCAGCCCTCCTGTTTGCATATAACAGCACATCTGTTGCAATTTTTTTTCCATGAAACTCTCAATGCCTGCGACATCCACTCCCATCCCCATCATGAGATGTTCAGCCATCTTTACAACAAATACGCCACAACTCACCATGCATATTATTAAGTACATTGGACATTATGGTGCTTTAAGTATATTACATGTTATTAGGTGCCTAGAAAGGAAATTTATAACATCTACGAACTTACGCGTCCTATTATTTTGGGAAATCATTTACGTTCACAATGCCTAGCACATCATCTCCCATCTCAGGCATTTTTCGCTACTTGTACACTTCCAGTTTGTCCATCACCTTTGGCACTAAGATCTGTAGACATGGAAAGTATGGTTTTGTGTGACGACTGGTCTTCCTATTGTGGTTAGAATCATACAGCCTGATGCATTTCTCTGATATGTCAAGCACAGTTAGTATCCAATGGTTTCCAGTGTTTATTGGCGTGTAAACGTAATTGCATTGTGCCAAGTGTCCTCCCAATTCTAGCACAACCCCTAAGATTGGTTTCAGTACTGAACTATTCAAGGCTGCTTCAGGAAGGTGTTCCTTTTTCCCAAGTAATTGTCATATTTTCTCTTCAATAGACTGACAAGTAGGTTGTCTATTACTGTAAATGGCTGGGTCAAGCCATATTCTTGTGCTTTCAGGACCAGGTATTTGAAGGCAACATTATCATGTTGTAGTAGATAAAGCATTGTAAGTCATTAGTATATTTAAAAATCCATAACCATATATGTATAATCGTTTAATAAAATGCCTATGTTCATACTTACCACATCATCCATCCATTGGTGAGGGTAGAAGAATCCATAGTACCACGTTTTTGTCATTGTTTCGTCATGCCTCCATAGTGGCCGAAATTCTTCTAGTTTTAAAGCATTTTCAAGGCTTGTGTACTTTGTGCCATTGACTTTTTTCTGCTTGCTTAGGAGACCTTGTGCTAAAAATGTGAATTTGAGCAGGTCTCCTTGAGCACGTATCATTGACAATATGGAAACAACATCACAAGTTACTCGAGTATATTTAGTCTAGTTGATATGGTACATTTTTTAGTTGGTAGAGTGTCATTTTGTTTATTTCCACCGACTAATATAATTGTTGCATTACATTTGAGTTATACAGGCAGTAGAGGATTTGGATCCAACCATTTAGGACATTAGTCCATACGCTGAACAACTAAATATCCTAGAGGGTATCATCACTTATTTGATTCCCACTGAACCACAAAATGTCCTCGAGGATATTTACACTGAAAAACCACCTGTCCTAAATGATGTTCCCACTGAACAACCACAAGTCCTCACTGATATTCCCACTGAACCACCACAAATCGTCAATGATATTCCAAATGAACCACCACAAATGCTCAATGTTGATCCCATTGAACCACACCAAGTCCTCACTAATATTCCCACTAAACCACCACAAATACTCAATGGTATTCCCACTAAACCACAACAAGTCCTCAATGATGATCGCAATGAACCACAACAAATACTTGAGGACATTCAGGATGAACAAACACAAGACCCTGATGGTATAGATGCTGAAGAACAAGGCAGTAAGGATATTGCCATTGACAAACCACAAGTATTTGTTGTGGTTCATTGCGATCATCATTGCGGACTTGTTGTGGTTTAGTGGGAATATCATTGAGTATTTGTGGTGGTTCAGTGGGAATATCAGTGAGCACTTGGTGTGGTTATTCAATGGGAGCAACATTGAGCATTTGTGGTGGTTCAGTGGGAATATCAGTGAGGACTTGTGGTTGTTCAGTGGGAACATCATTTAGGACATGTGGTTTTTCAGGGTAAATATCCTCGAGGACATTTTGTGGTTCAGTGGGAATAAAATAACTGATGATACCCTCTAGGATATTTGGTTGTGCAGCGTAAGGACTAATGTCCCAAATGGTTGGATCCAAATCCTCTACTGCCTGTATAAATCAAATGTAATGCAACAATTAGTTGGTGGAAATAAACAAAATGACACTCTACCAACTAAAAAATGTACCATATTAACTAGACTAAATATACTCGAGTAACTTGTGATGATGTTTCCACATTGTCAATGATACATGCTCAAGGAGACTTGCTCCAAATCACTTTTTTAGCACAAGGTCTCCTAAGCAAGCAGAAAAAAGTGAATGGCACAAAGTACAAAAGCCTTTAAAATGCTTTAAAACCAAAAGAATTTCGGCCACTGTCAGGGCATGACGAAACAATGACAAAGACGTGGTGCTATGGATCCTTCTACCCTCATGAATGGATGGATGATGTGGTAAGTATGAACATATAGGCATTCTATTAAACGATTATACGTATATGGTTATGAATTTTTAAATATACTAATGACTTACAATGCTTTATCTACTATAGCATGTAACAGTTGCCTTCAAATACCTGGTCATGAAACCAGAAGAATATTGCTTGACCTAGCCATTTGGAGTAACAGACAACCTATTTGTCAGTCTATTGAAGAAAGAATATGACAACTACTTGGGAAAAAGGAAAACCTTTGCTAAAGCAGCCTTGAACTGTTTAGTACTGAAACCAATCCTCGCTGTACCAGAATTGGTTGGACGCTAGGCACAATGCGATTACGTTTACATGCCAATAAACATTGGAAACCATTAGATACTGGCTGTGCTTGACATATCAGAGAAATGCATTAGGGTGTATGATTCTAACCACAAGAGAAAGACCAGTTGCCACACAAAACCATACCTTCCATGTCTACAGATCTTACTGCCAAAGGTGATGGACAAACTGGAAGTGTACAAGGAGTGAAAAATGCCTGAGATGAGAGATGATGTGCTAGGCATTGTGAACGTAAATGATTGCCCACAACAACAGGACGCGTAAGTTCATAGATGTTATAAATGTCCTTTCTAGGTACCTAATAACATGTAATGTACTTAAAGCACCATATTGTCTAATGTACTTAACAATATGCAGGGTGAGCTGTGGCGTATTTGTTGTAAAGATGGCTGAGCAACTCATGATGGGGATGGGAGTGGATGAAGTGGATGTTGCAGGCATTGAGAGTTTCAGGCAAAAAATTGCAACAGAGGTGTTGTTATATGCAAACAGGAGGGCTGAACAGGAGGCTTAGCATTACCATGGAAAATGTGACCAAGTTTTAAAAACTTTTATGTTTACTTTTAGTACAATGTTGTAGTAATTGCACTATGGGTTGTAAGTGCACTATCAGTACTTTTCATATTATTAGTACTTTTTAGACAGAAGCTTGTAATCACAATATGGTTTCAGTACTAAACAGTTCAAGGCTGCTAAACAGTTCAAGACACTACCGGACCGGTGACCGAACCGGTCAAGCTACTGGTTCACTGGTTTACTGGTCGAACCAGTGGTTCAACTGGTCGAACCGGTGGTTTAAACATATTTAAAAATTAGATAAATATAAATAAATAAATAAATAAATAAATAAATGTGTGTGTGTGAATATGTATATGTATATATATTTACACACACATACATACATACATACATATAGACACACACACATTCTCATTTATAAATATCTAAAGAAAGTAATTTATAACATTTAAATAATATTATATTAATATACTTGAGTTATTTTATAAAATTAACAATAAAATTTACATATTAAAAAAATATAAAAAAATTTTAAATGTTGATTTTATTTTTTTTCAAATAAGTTGTTTAATATTAAAAAAATTCTTTGCATGATTTGCATTTTGTAATAGTATCAATGATTTTGTGTTTCACTCATAGCTATATAATATTACATTTATAAAATTGAAAAGGAATTTATATACAATCTTTTTTGTAATTATGAAATATTATAAAAGATTATGTGAATTTGTAACAAAAAGCACCATTGGTTGGATGGTTAGGAACTCAACCAAACATATAAAAGGTCTTGGGTTCAAACCCCCATGGATGCATGTTTTGGAAAAAATCAGCAAAAAAAAAAAAAAAAATTGGGCGGACCGGTCCGACTGGCCGGTTCTTACCGGTTTAAACCGGTTTAGGCCGGTTTGAAGCAGGTTACGGTCCAATGGGCCGGACCGGACCGGTTGGACCACCGGTTCGCCGGTTCACGGTCCGAACCGGCCGGTCCGGTCCGGTTTTTAAAACTTGTTAGATAGAAGCTTGTAATCGCAATATAGTTTGTGATTGCAGTAACGACATTACTTTTTTGGATAAAATTGTGGCACAGTGTTTGATGAATATTTTTTTAAAAAGGGGAGTAAAGAAGTAACCTTTAAACAAATGATAATAAATTTTATCAATGTCAGAATCACTTCTTCAATTCCAACAAATAACTTTTCTTAAGAAATGACACACCCAAACCATTCAATGTCAAAGAAGCTGGCATTGTAATTCTGGCACGAGCAAACGCCATCTTTTAAAACATGGAATCTCTTCAAATCTTTCTTTGGCTGATACTAATGACATACTTTTATTACAGAATGGCAATCCCTGCAGCCCCTTATGTTCTTGACTATGATGAGGACAGTACTAAATCACAGGCTAAGAAACAGTGCTAGGAGAGGGAGGGGGGTATCATTGAAAACACTTTAGGACTTTGGTTATATTTGCTATTATTTGTTGTCCGAACAAGAGTAAATAATTTAACAGAATTTGGAGGACAACAGATTGATCCATTACACAAACACATGAATATCATGGCATTCAATACAATTGAAAAGTAAAAACAACAGAGCTTAAAAAAAGCGTTCAATGAGAAATGACATGATATTAGGATCAATTTCAAAAAGACAATACAAAAGGACTTGAAATATTCATGAATTAGAAGGAAACATAAGGTCCATTCAAAAAACAGATTCTCTTGCATAAAGACTTATGTGCGACGAATAGAAAGGGGTGGGTACAGGTGTTTTATATTACGTCGAGTCATTGTACACCGAGAGCAACATTGTCTGCTCATAGTCTCACCCTTGGATGGAATTTGCCGCTTCTTGGGTCTTCTAGGTGGGCATTTAGAACATGAGAGAGGTGTACAGAAAATAGCTGACGCAACCTCTGGAACAACTCAACTGTCTCTACTATTCGAAGGATGTATAATGCCTTCATATGCTGCAATCCACTCGGAAGCAGTGTAGTATTTTGATATAAATTCATAGCATGAAACACTTGGGCGTGTATGAATAGTTGCAATAGCATGAACACATGCAAAGTAACCGGTCTGGAACTCACAACAAGTACAAGTCCTGGACCAAAGATTAACTGCAAAATTCCTTCCAGTTGTGTCCAAAACCTAGAACTCATATTCACACGATGGGCGAACCTGAAAAAAAGAGTTCTTGATAGTCATAGTATGAAAAACATATAGTCATAAGAAAATGCATTGTGGCAGTAGAATAAATTAAATGAAAAAGACATAAGAATGTGAGTATAATGCCTTGTGAGACGTACACTCATGACTGCACTGCAGACGAAGCATGTAGCTTATTCAACTTTGCTTCATAATTCCTTTTCAGAATGGATGACATAGAATTAGCCAATGTTCTCTCTTCATCAAACCATTTTTGCATCCTCGCAATTATGAATCAATAAGTTGTGCAATGGGATACTCGCGGGCTGTAGCATCAACACTGTTCATTGACTCAGCGTTATTTGATGTCATGATTGAGTATCGATTGTTTGCTGATTCTGCCCGAGACCACTTCGAAAATCCAATGCGTCCTAGATATGGCTGAGTGGCTCGATCCTCCTCATTTAGCAATTTCATATACCAATTCCGTTCACGAACAGTTGCAGCCTTTGCAAGACGAATAAACTTCCATGTAACAGCTTTTGCAGAGCCACGGAATGATGTCTTAATGTTACCAAGAATATATGAATTGAAGGAGGTTGAGCAGACATTGATTTGAGAGAGGAGACTATGATCGATTTGCAGAAAGACAAAGAAGATGAGCGCGCGGCGCAAAATTGAATCTTAGAAGAAGATGAAATTTAGGCGTAAATAAGGGATGGTAAAATAGAGAGATCAGGTCAATATTAGTTCCATTTATGAAAAAAACAAGTGATACTATAAGGGAAAAGGCACCGATTTTGGTACCATCCGTGGCAAATTTGACTAAACACTAATGTAAACAGGAGAACCCTACTCTAGGGGTCTCCCACACCCTTGCCTTAGGGTTTGTGAAAAGGTGAATCGTGAGATGTACCTCATCTGACCAAGAACCATATCAAGATTTTTGTCATGGCTTACCTCACCTACAAGGATCGAGTCCAAAAAGAACCATATTCTAATTTTTGAAACTTAAATTAGTAAGGAATTTTTATTAATCTACATGGCAATGAAGTTAACATAAATCAACATATCCACATGTCAATTTTTAAATGGAGGGGCATCCATGCCCATGGATTATTAAGGGCACAATGACAACATAGGTCACAGGGATGTCAATTCAAAGCATTTCTTTTTTTGTTAAATCTCTCATGTTTAAATTTTATCTTAGAATACATTTAGCATTATTTGGAAAAAATATTTTCAATTTACACTAACTTTTTTAATAATTTTTTAATAGTACATAATTTTTTGAAAAACATTAAACCTCCTACCCAACAACAATGCTGTTATTAAAGGATTAATTTCTCATCCTAAAAACTTACATTATGAAAAGACAAATTATAAATTTTGGACCAACATGGAAGATATTGCTCCGTATCTTAAACTTTTACGACTCCGAATTAATCTCCATGTCCTATTGTTCAAATGATTATAAGAGATGATATGACATATGATACGACCCATAAGTTTTCATTTCATATTCTCTGCAAAATAGGGAGTACAGATGTTTTTTTCCAGAAAAAATCGAGTACAGACTACGAGTACATATTAATCCTACCTTCTCTAAATATTTATCACATTTGTATTCCCGAAATAAAATATCAAGTTTTTAAATTTATTTTATTTACATATTGGTATAGAAATAAAAAATAAAATTTACATATCAAAAAAGTACATGAAGAGTTTTTCAAAATAAGATGTGTCAAGAATATTTCTATTTTATTTTATCAAATAACTGATGAAAACGTAGAAATAAACAAAAGTTCCCGCGAATACTGAAAAAGCAAACGTTGCAAATAATTTGGGACGGAGGGAGTAGTAAACAAGATTACTCCCTTCGTCTCAAAATATTTATAACATTTGTTTTTTCAGTAGTCGCGGAAACTATTGTTTATTTCTGCGTTTCCATTGATTATTTGATAAAATAAATTATTCTTGACACCTCTTATTTCGAAGAACTTTTTATGTAGTTTTTTGATATGTAACTTTTGTTTTTTATTTCTATATCAATATGTAAATAAAATGAATTGAAAAAAATTGATATTTTACCTCGAAAATACAAGTGTGGCAAATATTTAGGGACGGAGGGAGTATGTACTAATCTTGATGGTTTACATTGTTACAATATGTTAGTAAGATAAAACTTTTGGACTGACATTTTGTGCATGTGTGAACCATTGCCCTAACATCATACGGGCACATAATGAATGTATGTACATGCGTTGTATAATTTGGGATACAACTTTTGGAATTTATGTAGCTAAATGGATCATTAAATCCATCTAATTTACTCCGTAATTTAGATCTCCGTCTCAATAACTGTTTGACCGGGTCTGAAGAAACCCTCGAAAATAGGACTCATCTTTTTTTTCATTAATGCAAACCCTTCATTACACAATAGGAAATGGTGTTTGCATTTTAGTTTGAGTAATTTACTTAAATATCACTAAAACATAATGACTTTCCCTAAATAGCATCACATGTGTTTTTCTTCCAAATGTAGCACTTTTAGTCATTATGCATTAGTCATTATTCAAGTAAATATTCGCCATCACTGGATATTATGAACATTATTAAGTGCTATTTAGGGAATAAAGCAATTTAAGTACTATTTAGAGAAATGACTTAAGTTTTAGTGCTATTTAGTGCAAATATTTCTTTTAGTTTTGGCTATTGACATTTTAGGATGTACTCGGGTTTGTCCTCTTCCATATACATTTACGAAGAACTTTTTATTCTCAAGAAGAGTTTCAAAATTCAAGACCCGTTTGGTGAGCAAAGGAGATATGAGTTTCTAAATCTCTCGATATCATATTTCTTTTTTGGTGAGGTATAAAAAGAATTTGAAATCGATATCCCGCGCACTTCGCAGGTTACCATTGTCACCACCAACCACCCGTGTTTTCAACAAACCACATCAATCACTAATTAAATCATGATTTTGGAAAAAAATTTCTGAGACGAATCGAGTACAACGTAACATTATTGTTGACCGTGTGCCGAATGGCATAACTGCGACTCTCCAATAATGAACTGATACTAAATTGTACGGAGTAATATACTCTCTCCGTCGTCCTTACCAAATTTATACTCCCTCCGTCCTATAATGATCTTCTCGGTTCGCAAAACGAAGAAAAATCCCAAGTTTTTTCAATCTATTTTATTTAAATATTGGTATAGAAATAAAAAATAAAACATACATATTTAAAAACTACATCAAAAGTTCAACAAAACAAGTAGTGACAAGAATATTTTATTTTATTATATAGGCCATGAAAAAACACAAATAAATATAAATTCCTGTGAAGTTGGAATAGTGCTCTGGGAAGATCATTATAGGACGGAGGGAGTAGTTTTGGTTGATAACGTTTATATATACATTTTTTTAGTAAGAGTTTGAAAATTACTTTTTTTTTTACAAACTTCAAACTATTTTTATACACTAAGACTATGTTCTTTTGGGTTAGAAGGTCTGAGTTGGATGTTGGAAAAAACAGGAAGGAGTTAGAAAATGTTAGAAAAATTTAGATATTAAAAAGTCACTCAATTAACTCATCACCCAAATACACATATAAGAAAACTCAAATTTTATATTCATCATATATAAATACATTTTTTAAATTGTTATCCTTTATATATTATATTTGGGAGTTTAACTCCTAGAATTTTGACATTTGTCATGCTGACGGGGATTTTTTTTGACACTTCATAAGCCATGTCATCATATCGAACTTGCTCAATATTTCAAACGGGTTGGATAATTATTCATTACTTTGGGCTTTTTTTAGTTGGGCTACTCTATGTGGAATTCATCCGCAAGTCTGAATGAAGCGAGACATCAGCGGCACTTTCCTTTGATTGCACCTCCCTGCGATATTCATCTTCTAATGCTGCGAGATTTCAGAGAATATGTAATTGGAATTAATCTCTTTCCTTCTTCACGGTCCTTCTTCACGGAGATTCCAATGATCGGTCCCAAGAATAGGTAACTTTCCCTTTTCTTAAAAAATCATAATTGTTTTTGGGATGATTGGACTTCTTTCCTTATGATGATTAGTCTCTGCGAAATTTTTCTTCTTTCGAATTTTCCGGTTCAAATCTCTAGATTTTCTACCCTTATTGCTATAAGTTTCCTTCTTACGATTTATATTAGGTCATATATAAATCAAATTTTAAGTAAGTCATTTCATCAATCTATTTTTTCATTGTAAGCCACGTTCATACCTAAAACCTCTGATTAATTGACATGTCTTCAAAACCGATCCACCCTTTGTTGAAGATCAATCCATCAAGTGAATGCTGGAGAGTTTTGGTTCGTGTGATTCGACTGTACAAGATGCCAATGTATAATGATGAGAAGATGACGAATATGATTGAGATGATATTCATGGACGAACATGTAAGAATTTACTCTTATTCGTATTTTTCATACAATATAATATTTATGTTTAATAGGATTTCTTATAATTTTTTAGAGGTTAGAAGGTTATTTTACTTTTACTTTCAAAACACAATTATACTAATCTGTATAAAAACCAAAATTCTTGAGTTGCCCGTATTGAAAAAATCAATGAAGAATGATAAGTCTGCTGTTCTCAAAGTATAATGAGTCTGCTTTCCTTGAAGCTTCTATTTTCAGCACCATAAAAAAATAATTTTTTTATTAAAGTACTGAAAAGTTGAGCCTTTCCTTATTTTCAGATTTATAGTCTGCTGTTTTTGAACATATTTTATATTGTAGAGTTTAGTTTTTAGTCTCTTGAAGATTCTCCAGATTCAAAGTATTGAAAAAAACACACTATAGTGTGTTCTGATTCTAAATATTAAAAAATAAAACACACTATAGTTTGTTTAGTTTTTTTAGTGCCTATTCATGTTGAAGTTTCTCTCATGCTTAAAGCCATGAGACTAAATTTTTTTAGTAGTGCCTAAGAAGAAATTCTTATAATTTATGTAATAATAACTCTGTCGTTCTTAAAGTGTAATAAGTCTGCTGTCCTTGAATCTTCTATTTTCAGCACCATAAAAACATATTTTTTTATTAAAGTATTGACGACTTGAGTTTGTCCTTATTTTTCAAACCTTAATATCAGATTTATAGCCTCATGTTTTTGTAACATATTTTATGGTGTGGCGTTTAATTTTTTATAGTCTCTTGAAGTTTTTCCAGTCCTTAAGTATTGAAATAACAAATCACACCATAGTTTGTTTACTTTTTATAACTAATACCTAAAAGAGCGATGCTAAGTTGACAAACAGAATGATCACAAACTCCATAAACTTACTATTTATGATTTAAATTCTCAATTTAAAATTATTTTAAACCATTTAATTTTTTTTATCAAAGTTCACAAATAGTAAATTTGTGATTTTTGTGATGATTGTGTTTGTGAACCAAGCATTTCCCTACCTGAAATGACAAGAAATATAAATACAAATAATCACCCAAATCAATATCAACACACAGAATAAGAATTCAAGAGTCATTGATGTGTAGATTGACGGTCTGCTCTGTGATTTTAAGGCCAACAAATCTCCTATGGATTGTGTAATGGTACAAGATTAATTGTTGACGAGATGTGAAAGAATGTTATTGGTGCTATTGTGGTTTCGGGAAATCGAGTGGGCAAAAAAGTTTACATACCCCGGATAAATTTGGTACGGTCTGATTCAGGACTACCTCTAAACTTCCAAAGAAGATAATTTTCAATAGTCTTATGTTTTGCTATGATTATTAATAAAAGTCAAGGTCAAACATTGTCATTTGTTGGCTTATTTTTAACCAAGTCAGTGTTCACTCATGATCAGCTTTATGTTGCTATTTCGTAAGTCAAGACAAAGACATGATTAAAAATATTAGTCTTAGATGACAATGGAAATCCTTGCAGGCATACAAAAAATGTTGTATACCCTGAAATCTTTCAAAATATTTGGTATTAAAGCAAACTTTGTTGTGTGTAGATTTAATTCCTCAAATATTATTCTTTTTACTTTGCCTTTCTTTTCTGTGTTATTATAAATCATGCATGAGGTATATTTTCTTTATTCTAGAAAAAAATATTGCATTGAATTAATTCAGAATCGACAAGATATTCGTCCGAACCCGTGCATTGCACGGGTAGGAATACTAGTTGAAATAAACTAGAAAGAGTTGTGAAGAACTAGAAAGAGTGGGAAGAAATTAAAAGGAGTTGGCAAAATTTTAAAGCTAATTTCTTCAATCCAAAAAAATATAGCCTAAATCTACCAATTCTAAAATAGTACAATATGTATGAAATTTATACGTACACACAAAACAAAAAATATCAATACATCCCAAAAAATTTAGATAACAACACAAAACTAACCGCATAAAAATTATCACACTCAATAATTAAGGTCTATTCTCGCAATAAGGATCATTCTCACCTTATCGTACACGTGTGTGTGTCTATATATATATATATATATATATATATATATATATATATATATATATATATATATATATATATATATATATATATATATATATATATATATATATATATATATATATATATATATATATATATATATATATATATATATATATATAT